CTTTTTCTGATGTATTTTTTGAATTTCGTAGTCACCTAACATTTGTAGTCAAGTGTGGTCATGCATTCTATGTTGTTGTTTCGTTACCTGAACTGATAGTTGGTGTCCCTACTGCCCCCACAGAGTACATGCCTGGAGGAAGTCTGTATGATTACTTGCACGAGAACCACAAGACTCTGAAGCTTCCTCAACTGCCCAAATTTGCAATAGATGTTAGCAAAGGCATGGAATATTTGCACCAAAACAATATAATTCACAGGGATCTGAAGACGTCTAATTTGTTGATGGACACAGACAATGTAAGATTCCTGATTTCTAATTCGTTTACTTGGGGTTTACAAGTTGTTTGCCTGTGTCATAAATGTACATGAAAGCACCCTAGACTTACACGTGGTGCTAACTTCATCAAAGACACTGCGACCATAAGCCCACCATGCTGTAGCAGCGAATGTTTTAGTTGGGAATTTTGCCATGAAATTCTGAGGACATGTGGGTGATAATTTCGTGCCCGTTTATTGTAGGCCGTGCTTGGAAATTTATTGCAATGGCATGTTACGTCATTGTGTGTTTCTTCAGCAGCTCTGTCTTTGTTTTCTATCAATTTCCTTCATTGATAGCTCTTTTAGCATCATATACCATTTTCTTGCCTTCAATGTGACCTCTTCCCATGCTGATGTCCTGTTGCCTACCAGACCAAGCCCTGTATGGTTGTCTGTTTCCTTCTTCTTCCATGATCATTATATCCTGCCCAGATTTAATGCAGCGCTGTATTGTTATGGAAATCTTGTTTACTTGGTTGTGCTTGTTGCATCAATGTGTTTGTTATTAAGCTGGAGATTGTGATAGTGGTTCCACATCCTTAGGTAATTGAACACATGTCATTTGTTCTCAAGGTTGTTAAGGTGGCAGATTTTGGAGTTGCCCGGTTCCAGAATCAAGGGGGGAGTAATGACAGCAGAGCTCGGTACTTACAGATGGATGGCCCCTGAGGTATGGGAACTCATCTCTTTTGTTATCTGAACTACTACAGATCAGTATCCTGCTGACTCTTTTTGTCGAGTTATCCAATTTGGCTATCCCATAGAAGACCCTATTCTTTGCCTACATCCCAACTTCACGTTAATATTGCCTGGTCCATCAAGTGTAATGCTGTAAAAATTTATTTGTGAACAGGTCATAAACCACCAACCATATGATCAGAAAGCTGACGTCTTCAGTTTTGCTATTGTGCTGTGGGAATTGCTGACTGCTAAGGTTCGCCATTTTGTGTGCACTCATCTGTTGTGTTTTGGGTTTTCTATTATTTTCAATTTTAAATCATATCATCATGTCATTATAAATAAAGAACGTCTCATCATGTTTAATAATTGTGCAACAATAGGTGCCTTACGAGTCAATGACACCATTGCAAGCTGCCCTTGGAGTCAGACATGTGAACTTTGCCTTCTTTTTTTCTTTCTTGTTCTATTTATTTGTTTTGTTCTTCCTTTTTCATTCCCCCCTTCACATTGCAAGTGACTTGGATCTTAGTAGAGTATATCGGATTATTTTTCAGTTCTGAAATTTCACCAGTCGACAAATTTGCAGAGATGTTCACTGGTGAGAGAAGTTTCTTTAAGGAGCCAATGACCATTATTCTGTGTTTATAACTTTGTCCCAGGGGCTGCGCCCAGATCTTCAGCAGAATATTCATCCAAAACTGTTAGACATAATGCAGAGATGTTGGGAAACAGATTCTGGCAAGCGGCCTTCCTTCTCTGAGATAACCATTGTATTGGAAAATTTTCTCCAAGAAATACAGGTAGAAGTTCGTTTTACCTTTTTGGCTACTTAACATATATATCTCCATGACCAGGTCACCAGAAAATGAATGGTTTTGCCTTCCCTTGCTTTGGCGGGAAGTTATGTACTGATCTATGGTCTCTCTGCAGTAACTTTGAAGCAGTTTTGTGGAGTAAATGGTTGTATACAAACTAACAGTAAAGAAATACCACGACACTGAAGGATAGTTCTGAGGAGATACGAGTACGGTGTTAATTCCAGCCCGTCGTCCGAGTTGTTTCTAATGCTAGAGCTGTAAATGTTTTGAGGACGGTGCACACTGCGGACATGACCATTGTTATAGATGATGCTTCCCTTCTGAGGTGTAATGCTTTTTTAGTATGTTGTTCCTTAACCCGCTTGCTGAACTGTGAAGTCCCTCACTGTTTCGTGTTTACCCGCATTGCGAGGCTCTTTGGAGAAGTTCCAAGCCCCAAAACACGTATAGCAAATTCTTGATGAACCTGAAAATGTCCTCTGAGAAGGATGTGTTGGTAGCCTGATGTCACTGTCAAGCTAGTCGTCCAGCAAGAAAATGTGCTTGGTCGTCAAAATATATAGCAACCTTAGTCCGTCTCGTGAAGGTTGAGTCAACTGAATTGTACAATGTTTCTTATAATAAAAAAATACCAATGTTGTCAGAACCGAATCGGAGCATGACCCGAAAATATGAACGGCTCGCACTTTAGTGGTCCAACCGTTGTTGGGCCGTTTAAAAACCGTTAGAGAACCGATAACTTATAAACAATAATATCATAAATAGAAGACACATATGGTAGTAATTGAACAATTTAATTGAACAATTTATCTAAACCCTAACCACTAAGTGTGGCTGTGCAAGAGCACCGCCCACTTTTACCATATCTCTCCCTCTCTCCCAAACCCTACCCCACTAAGCCCCAGCGCCGCACACCCTCACTCCCCCTCTCTCTCTCAAACTCTCCATTTCTTTTCTTCTTCTTTTTTCTTGATTCTTCTTCACAAAAATCCAACACTCAGGAGTTCGGCGACGGGGAGAGTTGGGTTCACCAGCAGGTGTTGGGTTCTACGAGAAGGGATCTGGTTCGACGGTAGGAGTTGGTTCGACGAGGAAAGTTGGGTTCGACGGGAAGGGCTGGGTTCGCCGGAGAGAGCGTCGGCGGTTGCGCTCGCTGGGTACTTTGGCACTCGGTCGGAATGGAGAAACCGGACAAGCGGCTCGAATGGTTCCAGCGGTTAACCGTCTCATCCGCTCCAAAAATCGCTCCCGAAACCGCTCTGGCTTTTTGACAGTGCCGAGCCGGTTTGGTGACCGGGTGCCGGTTTTATCGGTCGGGCCGACCGGCTCGGCTCGGTTTTAATAACACTGAAAAATACATCAATGAAAAAAGCGCAAACAACTTTCGAAAAAAAAGGCAAACAGAGTTGAGAAAATCACACACCAAGAGTTCCCGCCAAACCTAAATATTCTCCCGAAAGAACCCCTCTCCTGAAAGGCTGAAACCGTGAAACCACTGGGCTGGTAACGATTTTTACACTCATATGCAAGCAGCTTATAGAGTGTTAAGGTATCTTAAGAAGTCTCCAAGATAGGGAATCATGTTTAGGAAGGAGTGTGATTTCTCAATCACTAGATATAGCAATTCAGATTGGGCTGCATGCCCTAACACGAGAAGGTCCATAACTGACTTTTATACTTATCTGGGTGATTCACTTCTGACATGGAAAAGTAAAAAGCATACAATTGTTAGCATGTCTTCTTCTGAGGCAGAATATCGTGTTTTAGCACATTTGGTTTGTGAAGTGCAGTGGTTAAAGGAATTGTTGTCAGAATTAGGAGTACTGATTACAAGGGAAAGGATCAAGAGCGGATTGATAACAGGTCAGCGATCCTGATGAGAATGTCGTTAAGGCTGGAGGGAAACATATTGAGATAGATATGTATGTTACAAGGGAAAGGATCAAGAGTGGATTGATAAAACTGTTCTACATACACACTACAGATCAACTTGCTGATGTGTTTACTAAGGGTGTCAGCAGGTTTAGATTGATGGAACTACTTGACAAGATAGGAGTAATTGATGTTTACTCGCCATCTTGTGGGGGCCTATTGGAAGACAAAGAAGAGATCAGATCAGCAGCAGTGTCTGTTATGCACAGCAATCCGAATGAGAAAAGGATTGGCTCGTGTCAGCAACACTAGGATGATGGACTCAAGTGGAAGCGAATACAAGTTTGGAACTAGGCTAGCATTTTACCATGCGACGCTGTTTTGTCTTTTTCATTCTTTATTCTGTTAAATGCAGAGTGTGTTTGTAATAACGAATTTATATTAGCCACGTGTTTTGTGCGGGTTAATTGAATTTGAATGGTGGTTAATCACTGTTGATTAGCCGTTGAGTTCTCTATAAAATAGAAAAACCCTAAAGAGGTGAGACACCTTTTCCGCTGCTCTCATCCACCCAAATCTGTCTCTCTTTCCTTTTCTCAGGCCTCAACCTAGCGGATCATTGGCGGTTATCGACGAACTCCTTCTATAAGCTGCAACTGCTTTACGCCCCATTTCTCGGTGGTTAAGAACGTGGGTGGAGAGTTTAATGGCTGGAGAAGGCTAAGGTGATGCAGTGGCTGAAAAGACAGCTCCTTTCGTGTCGTTAACTAAAGGATCACCCTTCCGTTGTATGAACCCCATCTCCCATGTCCCCAACAACTGAATCGAGGCGGACGGACTACTGCCAGACATCACCACCGACTCATTCATACTGCTTCATCAAAGTGGAAATCTGGATTTCGCAACGCGAGCCAAAGCTTCGTTGATACCGAAGCTACAGCTCCAGCTTCAACTTTTCCCGGTCTGCAATCCCCCGTGTCTCTCCGTGTAAAACCAAATTAGTAGTTATTCTCATCCCGGATGGCGCCTTCGAGCTCAATTCCAGCACTCCCAAAATACTCCCACATCTCTTTAGATATGAAGACGGGGATGCGTTAATAAGGAATTTTGATGTACCGGAAAAGACGGGCACGGACAGGAAGAGGCGCCGGAAGAGAAAGACAGGAAGAAGAATGCGGTGTAGCGAATTCCACCAGCCAGTAGGGACTACTACAGTCAAATTGGAAGACAGAGACAGAGGAAGAATAGAAGAGTGTTGCTATAAAATGGTAAGTAGGTTTAGGGCGATAAAATTTAAAATGTTAGGGCGTCAAATATCCCAGATTCATTAACCTGTCACTTATACGAAAGCAATGTACGCTTCGATCCTGCACATGTAACATAAAGCTTTGACTTAATAACAAATCTTCTGGCACAAAAAAGTCTTCTGCCTCCATAAAGCTTTGTTTAATAACTTGCTTGATCCTCGTTCGGTACTCAAACCCCTGAATATCACAAGTGGAATAGTTGTAATCAGTATTATGCACTAAGGGATTCATGATAAAGAAAGGGGGGAAACCCTTAATAAATAAACAAACCAAAACTAAGCCCCTGAATATCACAAGGAGAAACCAAAGGAGTATCGATCAAAAGTCTCGATTGCAGAAGGGAGAACAGAAAACACATAAGTTAAGTAACAAGCAAAAGAGGTGGTGTCTATTCTCAAGGATGCCATTAACAGAAGTCCCCAGCAAAATTACTAGATGGAAATACAGTTTGTCTTTCGCCACTAGGAAAACTACCAACACTGCAATAAAAGTCGAACTCACTGCTCAACATAAGAAAAACAAACAAGGCACTAGAGTCAAGAGCTTTGACAACCACCTAAACGAAGTCATCTTTAACAGGCAAACCCGCAACATGCAATCCCCTAAAACCCTGATCTAGCTTGGTGTGAACAATCTTACATCTTCCAAACAGTAGGACAATTAACACTAAGAATTGGATAAGAACCAACAAATTGCAGATGTCTGAAACACTTAACAACCAAATCAAACAATATAAGCACTGTCAACCTTCAAAAACCTACCAGCAAATTTACCTGTCAAAATGGTTTCTCATCTTCGTGCCATTGTTGGCAGCCATAGCTTCCCTTTGCGATCCACTAGCTCCTGATAAACTTCCCAATACATTTCGTCGACATGCCAGCCTCCGTAAATATACCCAAATCGGAATGCTACCCTCCTTATAATTCCACTTTCTTATCTCATCATCAGGCACGAATCCTTCAGCTACCTTGACTTGGGCTGGGTTTGGAAAATTGAAGTAACAGTCCTCGCCAGGGCCCTCCTTAGCCTTCAGACAATCCATCATCAAGAAGACAACACTGCCGTTCTTGCATTTACCAAAAAAAGCCTGCTGCTTGGGGGTAAACTTGAATTCAAATTGAGGGTTGATGGTGGATTTGAATTCGAAAAACTTGGTATTGGGATCATCCGAATGGCCTATTAGGGCGTCGTAAGGAAGTTTCCCTCCAGCCTTAACGACATTCTCATCAGGATAGCGGGCCTTTAGATTCTCCATGCAACGCCGTTCGCCTTAACGATTTTCTCATCAGGATAGCGGGCCTTTAGATTTTCTCCTGATGAGAATGTCGTTAAGGCTGGAGGGCATTGCATGGAGTATCTAAAGGCCCGCTATCCTGATGAGAATGTCGTTAAGGCTGGAGGGAAACTTCCTTACGACGCCCTAATAGGCCATCCGGATGATCCCAATACCAAGTTTTTCGAATTCAAATCCACCATCAACCCTCAATTTGAATTCAAGTTTACCCCCAAGCAGCAGGCTTTTTTTGGTAAATGCAAGAACGGCAGTGTTGTCTTCTTGATGGTGGATTGTCTGAAGGCTAAGGAGGGCCCTGGCGAGGACTGTTACTTCAATTTTCCAAACCCAGCCCGAGTCAAGGTAGCTGAAGGATTCGTGCCTGATGATGAGATGAGAAAGTGGAATTATAAGGAGAGTAGCATTCCGATTTGGGTATATTTACGGAGGCTGGCATGTCGACGAAATGTATTGGGAAGTTTATCAGGAGCTAGTGGATCGCAAAGGGAAGCTCTACCACTAACTCATCAAGCATCAGTGATTCCAAATCCACAATGTTGCACCTTAATACATAGGCATCGGATGATAACTTATTGAGCTGCCAATTGAAAACCCTTCGAAATACCTTCACCCAATTCACAACAATATGGTAACTTGAGCACTCCAGGAACTCCAGGCGAGTACTTCATGTGCCTCCTTGGCCGCCAATGGAAACCCCATCATCCCACTCGATTCAGTCAGGTATCTGATCAAGCAGTTCTCGATTTCAGACTAAGCTTCTAGAGCTCATCTCCCATGTTTGTCGTGCCTTCAAATAACCACGATACATCATCAGCAAATCCAGGAAGCTTACAACTCCGTACAGCAGAAATCAGCGGTTTGATTTTTTATGTTGAACTCCACCCTATGCTTGGCAGGTACGACTCTATCAACAAGCTTTTGCTTTCCTCCAGCAAAACCAACTCAGGGCGAGGCCAACCTGTCGGGTGCGAAAATTTCCTCCACACACCCATCCAAAGTTTCATTGAATGCTGAGATACACTTATTTGGTCCAACTTCAGTCATTCATCTTTTGGAGTGCATCTAGAGACGGATTCAGCCGTGCGAGAGCCAACTCCTGCAGTTTTAAGGACTGAAGATCTGGTTGTTGGGGTGGTTCTCTAGCTAACCATCTTAGTCCTTTCCTCACTCTGCCATCATTGAAAAATCCATTGGCATCTTCTCCAATGAGGAACACAACGGAGAAACTTCTTATTCTAGACTTGTCAATGGTATTCAATCCAAGTTAATGTGGCGGAAGGTCTGAAACCGTTCTATCCCATTTTCCACAGAACCAGTAGAGGAACTGAATAACTTGTATGTATGGCCGATAGAAGGTTGTGGAGTGTGATTCTCTGAGGATTCATCAGGATAGTTTCTGATACGACGAAAACCACAGAAGTTGCACCAGCTGCTGTCTCATCTGGAGTACAAAAACTGGAATCTCTGACGACAGACAAGCAGCACATGTCGCTAGAAACCCAATTTCTCCATATTGAAAGGCCTGGAGATGAAGTTAACAATTCTTCCTCGGTAATGTATCTTTTGATCTGTTGGGGATGAGCTTTGAACACAACCAAGGGCATGCTGCTGCATGCTTGCTGGGACCTGGTTGATCATCTTCTTGTGACTGTGAACATACTACGAGCTTCCAACAGAGACATTTGGCGTCTGGATTTCTCGAGCTGGCTTCATCTGCAATGACTTCTGATGGATTTAATGGAGCCCAAGAATGCTCATATATTCTGCATCTTTCCTTCATGACAAAGTCAATGTCGAACTCGAGAATCTTGCTTGGTTGCTGCACTAGACCAAGAGATAAGAGTAGCATGAAGTCATCTAGAGATGGCTGCTTACAGAAAAAGGGGGCGGTAAGCTGATAACATTCCCCGTCCAAGACGTGTGTTTCGGCTACAATAAAAATCACTTAAAAATTGATTTAATGGCTGGAGCAAACACTTGGTTTATCTAACTTCTTACAACTACTATTCATCCTGAATTCCCAAAATATGAAAAGCCGAAAATCACCACTAAAAAAATTATGTTTCCAACAAAACTTTGTCCCTTTCAAATAAGAATCTATTCATAAAGTAATACGCCAGTTCCCAAAAACCACTCATCCTTTATAATTAAACCGACTATCTACTACCACAACAATTATCTTGTCAATCTTAAATTTCTAAACCTAACCAGACACCCTTTTTATTCACTTCTACTACAATACAAGTCCCTTCACAAAACTAAAACACACAATTGAAGAGTTGTGCACGGTGGTAGCTTAATAGACGGTATTTTTGGTCGTTCTGTGGCACAGGGAATCCACTTATTACGTATTAATACCCTTCCTTTAAAGCGAAAGACTTACTTCTTGAATCCTCCGAATCTGTGGTCCGAGTGATAATGATCTCATTGCAGCATATGCATATGTCTGTCTTTGACGCCGTAATTTCTGATGTCTGGAAACACCCCACTTCCATAACCTGAAACTGAAAGTAAAAGAAGTCAAGTGAATACAATAGGACAGTCAACAACTCTGCACCAAAAGATGTTGAGAAGTAAAAACCAACCTTATGAACAACTTGAGCTTCTCTCGAGCTACTTCATCTTCGAGATTCTCCATCAACTCATCATCTTCATATTCTTGATGGACATCAGGGGTTTCTTCACCTTGCAATAAATTGCCCACCACACTCTGATCGATTACAATCTCCCTCGGGATATCCTTTTCACCACTAGGGGGCTCTCTTTCAATGGTACTCCAACCACAGGTTGTGGCGTGCATGTCCTCAGTTTTAGTGATTGGGAAAGGAGAATCAGTCGTGCTTTCCTCCAGTTCTCCAACTTTAGCTGGCTGAGAGTTCGGAGCACTAAAAGCTGAAAGTACGTTTTCCATGGTACAATATTGTCAGTTGCTGTCACATGATTATTGTTATCTGTCTCCATTTGATCAAAACTTCAGATCTACCAATAGTACACTGTTTTTGCAAGCCAAACTTTGGTAATGGCACAACAACATGAGAATCAGGCATTTCATCATTAATTGCACTGATAGAATTCTTCTTATCAACCAAAGCAGGTGTAGCTTTCACAGCAAAGGTGTGACTTGGATTCTTCTTGTCAACAAAAGGAACTCGGATTTTTCTTGTTGCTTCAGCAGGCAAAGGTGTGACTTGAGAAGATGGAGAAATATCACTGACGATAGTAGTTGACTTTTTTAGATGAACAAGTCTGGAACACTTTGTTGAGAAGTCCTTATCGCTATTGAGAAATGGTCCTTCCTTCACCATATATGGCTCTTCAAAATCCTTTATCGAGAACCCATAATATGCTAACAAGTTTTCGACATCTTCTTGCTGAGATTGGAATCACCAAAGGCGCTAGAGTAAGACAACATTTTTTTCTTCCAAATGTAGCGACGTCAAGAAATAACCAGTGTCTAAGGGTAGGGAAAAACCTCCATAGCAAGCCACTTAGCAACTTGAGAAACAGGGATTCCTTGGTTGGTTTGTAGAGCCAAGTATAACGAAGCAAGTGCAAGGTGTCGTAGCTGAAAATAAATAAAGCATGAATAGTTTATTGATTTCATATATACATGACACTATGTTTTCGTATTTGCTTGAGAATTTTGTGCAAAAAATACTAGCTCATACCTTAGCGAAGTGAGCATGCATTAAACATGCTTGAAGGTAAGATGCCCTCTTTGCAAGCCTAAAGAAGGCAATGAAGTTGCCTGTTCTGCAAGCTCTGAAGAAGAGGATAAAAGTGTAAGAAAGTGGGAAAATGAGGATAAGCAAATAATAATTTCATAAAAAAGAAGTAACTACGTACCTTGCAACATCGCGAGCAAAAAGCACTTCAGGGGTTTGCCTTATCTCGGGAGTCATCTTGGCCAGATCTAGCGACAGCTCGGAAGGTTCCACCTGTTGAACAATGATTAACCAGCACAACAAAAGAAATGAAAAGAGAGAGGGAAGAAGGCAAGCAGCTGTAAAGAAAGTAAATGAAGGTAACTTACTTTGCATCCACGATGCTTGTCCAGTTTGAGAAGAGCATAATGACCATAGAATTCTTTTTCTGACGGCACAATAATGCCTTTCTTCCTGTGATAATCATACATTTGAAATAGTTCAACAGATGTTCATCTGTTCAATCTTAAGGCATGCATCGAATCCCTCTGAAAATCTCTTCTCCTTTGGTATATTCACACAGCTCATGCATGGCAATTACTTGAAGCCTTATCTGAAACTCACATCCAAAAAGCAAAAGGGTTAACCTGAAGAGAATTATGAATACTTTATTGTGCTTACTTTTGGGAAGAGTTAACAATGACTTGGTTCGTTCCGTCAACATGATATCATCACCAATATAATAACTTACTCAAATGCATGGCACGACAAGGTCAAGCAGACATCCTATAGATCAAAACATCAGGTCCAAAGCAAGGTTATTGTGTTCCAAACTAATACGAAAAGAACCTAATTAGATATATTGCTGCAGGCAACATTGCCAACTGAAACAAGGGAGCCAATATATTTGGCCTATGAAACTATAAATGCAGATGTTCTGCTTATGGAATCTAAATTGAAGTGCAATGGAACTCAAGATATAAAACAATTATATATTAGCATGGGAGATATATAACATCTTTTCAAGCCAATGGTCAACACATAGTTAGACTTCCAAACAACAAAAGTATCAAAATGAATTAACAGCTAAACCTGTATGAACACTGTAAATAGGAAGAAGCCATAAGGCTATCATGTCATATAAACCTGGTAAGTAATAAATGTATATTCAGCTTATAGGAACTATAATCAAAGATATCAAGAATACCATTTGCTCCAACATAGTTATAGCTTCCAAATTGAAAATGTGCTGCATTCTCAGGTCCATCAGGATTGCTCTCATCCTGTCTCACAGAAAGTTGTACCTCCCAAGGAAGTTGCCATCATATGGCTGATCCAGTAAGCTAAGAAGGTAATCAATGGTCTTCTAAAGGACAGGCATTGGACGTATAAGATATGCTTCCCTCTCAGCTGTCCTGGTGTACTATACGACAAAAATATAAGAATAATCAATGAAAGAGCAAGAAAGGGTCTGTCCACAAAATAAATTGGAGATGAAACCAGAAACAAATATACCTTTTTAACTTCAAGCAAACAGTTAGTTTGATTTCTATCCCATCCAAACGTTCATACTGATCAAGATACCCTTTCCTTTCTCGCTCCCCTCTTTCAGATTCTGCAATTGTTCATGCAGTTGACTTTTTTAGATGGACAAGTCTGAAACGCTTTGTTGGGAAGTCCTTATGACTATTGAGAAATGTCCATCCTTCACCATATATGGCTCTTCGAATTGCTTTATCGAGAACCCATAATATGGTAATAAGTTTTCGACATCTTCTTCCTGCGATTGAAATCACCACGAGGCACTAGTGTAAGACAAGGTTTTTCCCCAATGTAAAGACATCAAGAAATAAGCAGTGTCCAATGGGTAGGGCGAAACCTCCATAGCAATCCACTTGGCAACTTCAGAAACAGGGATTCCTTGGTTGGTTTGTAGACCCAAGTATAAGGAAGCAAGTGCATGGGTTCGTAGCTGAAAATAAATAAAGCATGAATAGTTATTGATTTCATACAATAGTTACAGTATACTCTGGCTTTGTATTTGCTTGAGAACTTTGTGTGCAAGAAAATACTAGCTCATACCTTAGCAAAGTGAGCATGCATTAAACATGCTTGAAGATAAGTTGCCTTCTTAGCAAGCCTAAAGAAGGCAATGAAGTTGCTTGTTCTGAAAGCTCTGAAAAAAGGGAAAAATTGTAAGGACGTGAAAAAAGAGTATAAGCTAATGATAATTTCATTAAAAAGAAGTAACTACCTACCTTGCAACATTGCGAGCAAAAAGCACTTCAGGGTTTTGCCTTATCTCGGGAGTCATCTTTGCCAGATCTAGCGACAGCTCTGAAGGTTCCACCTGTTGAACATTGATTAACCAATTAAACAAAAGAAGGAGAAGAGAAAGGGAAGAAGGTGGCCAGCTGTAAGGAAAGTAAATGAAGGTAACTTACTTTGTATCCAGGATGCTTGTCCAGTTTGAGAAGAGCATAATACCCACGGAATTCTTTTACTGACTGCACAATAACACCTTTCTTCCTATGATCATCATACATTTGAAATAGTTCAACAGATGTTTTGTTCATATGTTCAATATTAAGGTGTGCATCGAATCCCTCTGAAAAACCTTCTCCTTTTTTATATTCACACAGCTCATGCATAGCAATTACATGAAGCCTTATCTGAAATTCACATACAAAAGCAAAAGGGTTAACCTGGAGAGAAATCGAAATACTTTATTATGTTTAATCATGGGAAGAATTAACAATTACTTGGTTTATTCTGTTAACATGATCTCATAACCGATATAATAACCTACTCAAATTTCATGGCATGATAAGGTCAAGCGCACATCATATAGATCGAGACATCAGATCAAAAGCAAGGTTATTGTGTTCCAAACTATCAAGACAATAACCTAATTAGAGCTATATTGCTGCAGGCAACATTGCCAACTGAAACAAGGGAGCCAATATATCTGTGCCTGTGTAACTATCAATGCAGTTGTTCTGATTATGGAATCTATACTGAAGTGCAATGGAAGTCAAGATAAAAAAAATGATATATTAGCATGGGAGATATATAACATCTTCTCAAGCTAATGGTCAATACATAGCAAGACTTCCAAACAGCAAAAGTATCAAAATTAATTAACTGCTAAACCGTTATGAACACTGTAAACAAGAAGCCATAAAGCTATCATGTCATATGGACCTGGAAAGTACCAATTATGTTCAACTTATAGGAACTATGATAAAATAGATCCAAAATACCATTTGCTCCAACATAGTTATAGCTTCCACATTGAAACTGTGCTGCATTCTCAGGTCCATCTGGATTGCTCTCATCCTGTCCCACAGAAAGTTGTACCTCCCAAGGAAGTTGCCATCATATGGCTGATCCAGTAAGCTAAGTAGGTAATCAATGGTCTTTTGAAGGACAGCCATCGGACGTATAAGATATGCTTCCCTCTCCGCTGTCCTAGTGTACTATTTGACAAAAGAAACAAAAATATATACATATACAAATAATCAGTGAAAGAGCAAGAAAGGGTCTATCCACAAATATATTGGAGTAACTCGTAAGAACCATTATTTATGTAAGCTTTCCCCAAGCACAAACTTGTACCTAGCTTTACAGTACAAGGTCTAAACATCATGGCTGGCGTAAAATTGTGCACATAAAGCTAACCTTAACAGGCCATTATCAACACCAACAAAAAACTAACCTTAACAGGAAGATTATGCAGAATTACATGTTCCATCCTAAACAGAAAGACGAGGGCTACACAGAGAAGCTTACCTTTGTGGGAAACCTAAACCCGAATTTTGTAAACCAACTTCAGCAGTAAAATAAGAAGGTGATCTACTCCTTTTCTGGTCTTGCATTCCAGTGACCTTTTCTGCCACTGCAGTTCCAGGATTACGGGTAACAACAATAGATTTGACAGCCTAATGCAGATGATCTTTCTGACCATCACCGTTCAAGAAAGATTGGTTTCCATTACCCCATCTAGGAGGAGTTTCAACAGGCCTAGGGGGAAAATGTAACACACCAAAGGGGTAAGTGAGTAACTAGTAAGACACTCAACAGAGCTAGAAATATAGAACCATTACTTGAGCAAAGCTTCCACCCTATCACGAATACTAAACATCATGAGTGGCATACAAAGATGTGTACTTACAGTAAACCTAAATGAAAACAAGCGGGAGCCATCTTTCCAAGAGAAAAGGTACGGTCGAGCATAAACGAGAGTACACCACTCACATTCAAGGCCTAGTTGTTATGGAAAGATAGCTTGCAGGAGACTGTGAGATGTCAAATCTCGATGAGGAAGAATGTGGTCTTTGTACTTCAGACATACTATCATTGAAACAAAAGGAAAACATAAGTTGGGACTTCGATAGACCATCCTGGTTTCGAATCACAATCAATCATGCCCAGATATGTGTTTGTACTTTGGCATTGTAGCTGATGGATGACGACTTCTCACGAAGCCAGGAGTTCCATAACCCAATGACGGGAACTGCACGCTGTCCATTGGTGGAGGACCCCTGAGATGGTAACCAATCACCATGAGTACAGTTTGATCCATGGGAGCGCAAATGGATTTATAATTAACCTCCATTTGATCCACAAAAACAATAATTTATTGCTCTAACCAATGATGACAAGCCAGGTAACTTCTCATGTGAGCTGGCCGAAGCATAAGCTAAAACTCAAAATCTGAACCTGTTCTTGAAACTAGACCAACATTCAAACAATGCCACTTCCAAATTGAAGTCTGAAACTGCTGATCCCCCAATAAGTTAAGCAAGTATTCAATAGTGCCTTTAGAGAACCCTATACCCAAAGAGAACTGTATCCTAAGGGTTTCATTTACATTAAAGTAACAAAAAATTTCTTCTAGAACTACAAGAAAAGGGAATAACATACCATGGAGATCGAGGACGGCCAGGTTGAGGTATTGGCGGTGCCTGAGATGATGCCGGAGTACCGAACGGTAACAGTTTGGTACCTTGGCTTTGGGGCCCCGCATCCTTCCCAAACGCGAACGCCATCCTTCTTCTTCACCGTAACCTTCTCCTGTTCCCTTTTCAGCTCTTATTTCATATATATTAATGGTGGCGTCCAGAAACCAAGAAGAGAGGGGGGAATTAGGTCACACAATTCGTTCAATTGGGGTCAGCGCTCCCGCTTTAGCGCGCATAAACGCGAATTTGAGAGAGTTCGTACAAAATTCGCGAATTTTTGCTGGTCAGAGCGCGAATTTTCTAAAGAAATTCGCGAACTCATAGAAACAGAGGAGAAGACAAATTGTTGATGGTGATAACAATCGATTTGTTGAAGGATGGCTGGTATGTGGAGGAAGCTGAAAGTGCTGAAGTCTCTCCATCTAGGAGAGAATCAAGTAATTGGGGTAGATCTTGAACTTTGAGGAGATGACTTATTGTCGGCACAAGAAATAACAATCTGGATTATGGATTTCAAACTCTGCATGTGGGGGATCGGTGGAGCTCGTCGGGGTTTCGAAGATTTTAATGTTTCAGGGAGACGTGGGGGATGTGTCGATGGGATGAAGGTAGATCGACAGAATGTGAGGTCAGGTGAGTGAAGATTTGGATAAGTCTTTGGAAGGGGATATAGAGAGGAGGATGTCGGTGTCGCTGATATGAGGAAGAAGGGAGGAGGGGATGGAGTCGGCTGTAGATTGCTCTTTTAGGGTTTTGAGTGGCACCCAATTTTGGGCTCAATATGACACTTTGGTTGGCCCATGGAAAGTTATCATACGTAAGTTTTTATGGTTGGCCCATGAAAACACTTAGCTTGTTTTCCCCTGGTAATTATGTATCTATGTCTGTTCGTCCTCATGGTGTTTTGCTTAATGAACATACGCTTCTTCCGGAGGGTCAGCTTGCGGTTCCTCGTCGTGGTCGTGGTTGCGGTCGGGGTAACTATACTTGGGTTCATCCTCGCAATGTTGGAGGAACAGGACGAGCTCGTGCTCGTGGAAACAGGGATGAGCGGTCCTCGTCAGTGGATCCTGATCCATGGCATTATCAGGCGGTGTATGCTTTTAATTCGGGCGAGTCTGCTGATGATTTATCTAAGGGCACGACTCACCGTCCGACGACTGGCCCTGCTCTGCCGCCTCTTCGCATTTCGGAGATTTCTTCTGGTTCGGGTGTAGCGCAGCACGACCATTCGGCTGCTCTTGGTGGCGATCAGGGTAAGGGCAAGGGCAAGGCTATAATTACCGAGTTGGATTCTGATGAGGACGAGGATTCTTTGGTTCCTCCGTCCTTTCGTACTGGGCCATCCTTTAGAATGGCATTGACTGATGAGGAGCTTGAGGTAGAATGGCGGAAACGTTCCTTCTCTGAGATGATGGAGTCCAGGGATCCAGTACATCCAACTGTTCTGCCACTGCTGGAAGCTCCCCCGGAAGGACAGGAGCTTGTTACGATGGAGACTGATGAGCCTGCATCCAAAAGGCCGCATGTCGGGGAGGAGGCTGCAACCGATCTGGGAACTGTGGAGGAAGCCAGCAGTGAGTGGCCCCAAGGCGCCAAATGAGCATTTTAGCTTGGAATTGTCGAGGGTTGGGACCTCCTTTGACAGTTCAAGCTTTAGAAGGTCTTGTTCGTGTTCATAGTCCGTATTTGTTATTACTTTTTGAAACTCGTAATGGTCGTGATTATGTTGAGTCGGTTGTTCGTAGTCTAGGTTTTGTGGATTGTAGGGTTGTGAATCCTTCTGGTTTGTCGGGTGGTTTGGTGGCAGCTTGGTCTGCTGCTGCTTCTGTTTCTTATTTATGTTCGGACTTTTTTTATATTGCTTTGCAAGTGTGTTTTAATGGTAAGCAATCAGTGGTTGTGTTTGTGTATTTAAGTTGTGAGGAGGTGGTTCGGCGACGTCAATTTCGTCGGCTGGTTGCTTATTGTTCTTTAATTGCTGTTCCTTATTCCATTGTGGGTGATTTTAATGATCTGTTGAGTTCTAGTGATAAGCAAGGTGGACATGGTTTCAATCCTACTCGTGCTCTGTCTTTTCGTTCGTTCGTTGATGATCTAGCTCTTATTGATATTGGTTTCTCCGGTCCGCGCTTTACTTGGACGAACCGGCAATCTGTTTCCTCTTTTATCCAAAGTAGATTAGACCGATTCTTGTTTTCTGCAAGCTGGGTGAACGAATGGCCTCGGGGTACAGTTGAGCATTTGGCTGATCAGGGTAGCGATCATCGTGTGATTCTCTATCGTTGGTCCATTCCTCAACCTTTAGGTAAGCCCCTGTTTATGCTTATGCTCGTTGGGGATCGAATGTCGAAGCTTTACAGCTTGTTGAATCGGTGTGGCAACAAGCTGTCCCCGGCTCCCCTTTTTTCCAATTATGGACTTGGTTGAAATCAGCTCGTCACAAACTTTTTTACTGGGCGAAGAAAGGGACGACAAACTCAGCTCGTCGTATCAAAGCTTTACGGTCTGAATCTCTGCAGGTTTAGAATAATTATCCTGTGGACTGGACTGAATTGAATCGCATTGAGTCAGAACTTGCTTCTTCTTGGGCAGCAGAAGAGAAATATTGGAGACAACGGTCACGGGTCCAGTGGTTGACTGAGGGTGATCAGAACTCAGGCTATTTTCATGCTGTTACGCGTGCGAAGCGTCGCCGAAATAGGATTGAAGGCATTTTTAACACGGCTGGCCAAAGGATTACGGATGAGGATGGTAAACATTCTGTTGTTGATTTTTATAAGAATCTCTTTTCCTCTGATGTTTTGGATGATGGTTTTGCGGTGAGAGTGGCTGCAAGAGTGAATAGTTTGCCTATAGCTCGCTTGGTGACAGGGAGTATGAATGAGGCCCTTATTGCCCCTGTTACTCCATCTGGAATTAAGGACACTATCTTTCACATGGGTGCTACTAAGACTCCTGGTTCGGATGGGTTTACAGGCTGCTTTTTTCGTTCTTTTTGGCATATAGTTGGAGATAGTGTTGTCAAGGCTATCTCTTCTTTTTTCACTACGGGTAAGCTCCTGAAGAATTTTAACCATACCTGGTTAACTTTAATCCCCAAAGTTGATGTAGTGGAACAAGTCTCTCAGTTACGGCCCATCAGTTTGTGTCAGTTCTTGTATAAGGTTATCACCAAGATTATGGCTACTCGGCTAGGTCGAATTTTACCACAACTTGTTTCCCCGGAGCAAAATGGATTTGTTCAGGAGCGTCAGATCGTTGACAATGTTCTTATTTCCCATGAAGTGATGCATTACATTAAGCATAAACGGCTTGGGCGGGCCAAGTACATGGCACTTAAGCTAGATATGGAGAAAGCGTATGATCGCATTGAATGGCCCTTCCATTTTGCTATTCTTCGGAAACTGGGTTTTTCTTCTGATTGGATTAATTGGGTTAAAGAGTGCGTTTGTACTGCCACTTTTTCCATTCTGGTCAACGGTACTCCGGCTGGTTATTTTTCTTCGACTAGGGGCCTCCATCAAGGGGATCCGCTTTCCCCGCTTCTGTTTGCTCTTTGTACAGAGGGTTTTACTGCCATGATCAAGGAGAAGATAAGTTCTAAGGAATTGCAAGGTGTTCGTGTTTCGCCATCAGCTCCTGCAGTCTCTCATTTGCTCTTTGCCGATGATTCTTTTCTCTTTCTTCGTGCTTCCCGTCGTGAATGTCAGCTTCTTATGGCTCTTCTTCGTGAGTATGAAGGAATCAGTGGTCAACGGTTGAATTTAGCAAAATCTGCTACTTTTTTCAGTCCTAATTTGGATTCCTCTGCTCAGAGTGAGTTAGGCACGTTGCTTGGGGTTGGTTCTATTGGCCTCCTTGATCGGTATCTGGGTCTTCCTTCACTTGTTCAGCGATCAACAAAGGAAACTTTTAGGTTCGTGGAGGAGAAGCTCATGTCTGTTTTGCAGGGTTGGAAAATCAGGACACTGTCTATTGCTGCGAGGGAAGTGTTACTTAAATCTGTGGCTACGGCTCTTCCTATATATACTATGTCTTGCTTTTGGTTACCTGCAGATCTCATCCGACGCTTGAATGCCCATATGGCTCGTTTCTGGTGGGGGCGGTTTAAGGTCAGCGTAGAGTTCATTGGATAGCATGGAAATCTCTTTGTGGCAGTAAACATGAAGGTGGATTGGGATTCTGGGATTTTGGGTGCTTCAATCAGGCGTTATTGGCTAAAGTTGCATGGCGTATCCTCACTGAACCGGCCTCTCTTTTGGCTCGTATTCTTAAAGGGCGATATTTTGTTGGTCATCATAATTTGATGGATGCCTCGTGTGGCTCAAATCCATCGTGGGGCTGGCGAAGTATCCTCCATGGTCGAGATTTACTTTCTCGTGGGTTGCGTTGGCAGGTAGGTAATGGCTTTTCCATACGGGTGTTTGAAGATGCTTGGTTACCCACGTCTCCGCCGTCGATTTCTTCTCGTAGACCTGGTGCCCCTGCTTCTTCCCCGTTTGTTTCGGCGTTGATTGATCCGGGATCTTGCACTTGGAATATGGCAGCCTTGCGTCTGTTTTTCAATGCTGATACTGTCAAGCTCATCTCTTCAATTCCTCTTCCGCAAATCCAAATCCTGGATAAGTTGATATGGCATTTTGAGCCATCAGGTGTTTTCCAGGTTCGGTCAGCTTATCATCTTGCTTTTCAATGCTATCGTTCTGGAGTTGGTAGGCCTCGTGTAAATCAAATGGATCATGATATGTGGCTTTGGTTGTGGAATTTGAAACTGCCACCAAAGCTTAAATTTTTTGTTTGGCAGTGTCTTAATCGGATACTGCCAACTAGGGAGGCCTTATCTCTCCGGGGTCTTGATATAATCCTGATTTGTCCGGTTTGTAGACGGAAGGTGGAATCGTTAGAACATCTGTTTTTTAATTGTTCATTTGCTCGAAAATTGTGGAGCTTGGTTGGTTTTCGTTCTCAGCTTGCAGGTTGGGATAAGCGTTCATTTGCAGGTATGGTTCGGGAGGTGCTTTTTCATAAGAGCGGGAGGGTGAATAATTCTTATTTTAACCTGCAAGTTATAGCCATGTTTTGGCGTATTTGGAAGAACAGGTGTATGGTTCTTTTTGATCAGCAACAGGTCTGCTTGGAGTCCAGGGCGGCGGAGTGGTGTCATCAGGTGAATGAAATTGAGTCTGCCTTCTTGTCCGCATCTCTTTCCCCGGTCATCCCGCTACCATCTTCTGTTCCTACGGGATCAGCGTTTCCGCATGATGTTCATCAATTTCATGCTTCTTTCGATGGTGCCACTGGGAGGGGGGATGCAGGTGCGGCACCGTATGTGATTGGGGACGGTTCGTCTGATGCAGGGATGGTGTTTCCAATTGCAGCTGCGGCAACCATTTATGCAGGGATCAAAGATGCTCATGTTTTGGAGACCCTAGCTCTTCGGGATTGTCTCAAGGAATGCAGCACAAGACAGCTCACATCGCTTCTTATTACGGGCGATGCGAAGGTTATCCTGGATAAATGTTTGGCTGGGGATTTCAATGATTCTAAGGTTGGCACAATTTTGCGTGAGATCAAAGCCTTGTTGGCTGGTTTTGGGGGGTATTGTGATCTACGTTTCGTAGGTCGTCATAGGAACAGGGAGGCTCATTTAGTGGCCAAAAAGTCCTTGAGTTTGTCACCTCGGGTCCCGTCGAGGTTCGACTATGTGTCTTGGTTACGTAGTTTGTAATTGACGTTGTGTGGATCTTATCTCCATCTCGTTTGAGATCGGTTGAATGGCAAAAAAAAAAAAAATATTATGCTTAGCTTGTTTTGGTTGTGCTTTTTTAAGTATTTTATTTTGTTTCACCTTTTAGTTTTAGTTAATTAAAGACATTGACGTAGGATGTATTATAGAACTTTGAATTAGTCTCATTTTTTCTATGGTACATTTTAAAATAATATAATATTAGAGTTCTGTCGTCTAAACTTATAATTCTTTAAGAATACACGCTCTCGCTCCCGCTTCACGAATCGGTAAGCTAAGGGGGGAATTAGGTTACCTAATTCGTTGGTCTAAGGGTGCCGCTCCCGCGCCAAAACGCGCTCTTCCAACAAAACGTAAAAAAATCGCGACTTATACTTCTCCGGAGCGCGGATTATTATGGGACAGAGTGTGGATCCTGAAATTCAGAATGCTAAGCTGGAAACTGAACAATCGCGAGCTATAAATTGGGAAAGAAATCGTTAATTTTCACAAGTTAATTTCTTCCCAAAATCTGGCTTCTAAAATCAAGGAAATCAAATAACGATGGGTCAGCGACATATGCAGAGGTAGTTCTCTGACTGTGATAAAAACCAGTCTAAGCTCATATGAGACTGCAAGAATTTGATGGAAAAAAAAGCTGAACTTCTATTCGTCGTCCTAAATTTTCAAATAAATCGCCCTAAATTTATTGAATGGACAATTTTACCCCCAACTTAAAAAAGTAACCCTAACCTAAACTACCATATTGTTTTACTCGCCCCACACCCCCACTCCCATCGCAGCAGAGGCAGCAGCCCGCCTCCTCCCCCTTCTTTCCATTTCGCAGTAGAGACCAGCAACGCCGCCGCCTCCCCCCTTCTTTTCATTTCGAAGACCAGCCGCCGCCCTTCCATCTCCCTGCAACGCCGCCGCCGTTCACTCTCCCCAGCAATGCCGCCGATCCACGCCTTCCTCTGCTCGCCATTGTCGTCGTCGCCGGGAGAAGGTGAGTCGCCCTTTCTGCCGTTCTTTCCACCTTTTTTATTTATTTTCGTGGATGTAAATGAGGCGGGTGGAAAACCTGCCTGTGTTTTGCCCGCCGGCAGTAGGTTTTCCACCCGCCCGTCGCCGTAAAGAGCAGGGAGATGGAAGGGCCGGATCTGGCGTGAGGCGGGCAGGGTATCCGCCTGCATCGGGCGGTGGCTGGGTCGCCAACCCGCCCCGACCCGGTCCAGTCGGGTATCCGACCCGCCCGGCCCGGTTCGGTCTGGTTTCCTAACCGGCCTGGTTCTGTTCTGCCCATTTTTTTATTAATTTAAATGCATAGGTTTATGAATTGTTGATTTTAATTAATAATAATTTTGAATGATTATTTATGCGACATACATTAGAATGTGAATTTTGATCAACTTGATTTGAATTGTTAATTATAATTAGCATGATGTTTTGTTATTTTGACAATATAAGTAATATTCAATTGATAAAGTTTATGATTGTTAATGATTATTAGGAATAGTTAAAAAGTTTAGGATGATTAATAATAATTCTGAAAAAAAAAATTATTTTCTTGATAGTTGGTAAAAATGAACGAAAGAAAGGGAAAGTCAAGGGTTGTTGGACGCAATGTTACTGGATCTGAGCGGAGAAAACGTCAGGAGGAGAAGGATAGAGCTCTTGAGCTGGAGCGTCAGGAGAAGTTTGCTCGTCAAGCTGTAGTTGATCCTGCCCCCTCTAGCCATGATTCTCGACAGATGCGAGTCATCAACACATATGATGACTTGGTGGAGGATGCCACGAGCAGTGATGATGAGTGTGATGAGGGTGATGAGGAGGGTGATTTGTTGCCGTTTCCCGATGCTTTTTACCAGGGTCATCCTGTAGGTTCGAGCGATCACGTGTCTACTGGCTCGACCCATGTTAGTACTCGGGTTGGGCCGCTACGTGGTAAAGATGGGCGTTTTGCTTCATCATCTAGTGGGAGCGTCCCTTCACGGAAGAAGTTGGTGGATCAGACATGGCTGCTTACAGGAGCATTTCCTGGGGGTCCGAGTGACCACAGTTTGATCCCTAGTTTCGGTGGTCACATAAGCCATCGTTTGTGGACTTTGGGTTTGGATTTTTGAGTGATGTTTGAGTATCAGTTCTACACTCGGCAGGGTGGAGTGGATCGACTGAGGTTGTACAAGTTCTCGACTCCACGTGTAGAGAACTTGGTTAGGGCATCTAATTTGTACCACTTGAGTAGTTGCATGATGCATAGTGTGGATTACCCTCTCTTGGAGGCGTTTATTGAGAGGTGGCAGCCAGATACCAACACGTTTCACATGTCGTTCGGGGAGATGCCGATCACTCTTCACGATGTTTCATTCCTGCTCCAGATTCCAGTGGATGGAGAGTTACTTGCTACACCAGCTAAGGGTGATCCGTCGTTCGTGAGTGGGGTTGTTGATCTTCTTGGGATTCCAGATAAGAATGCAGTGGCAGCGCGTGGCATCCGTTGGTATGACGGTGGTGGGATGTTGGTAGATGAGTCCATGACACGTCTACATGCTAGGGGGGATGGGGATGCTGAGGCACGATGCTATTTAATGTGTTTGATAGGGTCCACGCTTTTTGTGGATAAGAGTTTTGATCGTGTTCGTGGATGGTTGTACTCTTACTTCAGAAATTTGCAGATGGTTAGTAAGTATGCATGGGGTGCTGGTGCGCTTGCCTAGATGTATAGGCAGCTTGGGAGATCTAGTCGAGCAGGATCTAAAGGATTTTCTGGGTGCTTAACCTTGTTACAGGCTTGGATCTATGAGTATTTTCCATCGTTGCGCATTAACAGAGCTGCACCACAGACCGTGGCATAGGGAGACCCATTGGCTAGGAGGTGGGAGGGTCCCGTTCATGGAGGGGGGCCTAGTGAGGATCCACGACGGTTGGATCATTATCGTCGACTGTTGGATGGCTTTACAGCGGACCACGTGGACTGGCTTCCTTTTGGTGCCCACTCTGGTCGTGCGGTACCTAGATCTTTGTATCGGGGGGGGGGGGGGGTGATACGTATCTATGACGTGACTGAGGCCTACGATCCCTCACGCACTCTCCGTCAGTTTGGGCATAGACAGGTGATCCCTGATCCTCCTATTCGACCATCTCGTGTCAGTCGACCTGCTGTAGGGACCTATCAGGTCGTTTTTGGGGCCGACTTCGATCAGCTTTGGAGGTCTCGTGGTCAGCTGATCAATTTGGATGCCTACTCTACACCTTTTGACGACACAGGATCCGTTGACCCAGAGTACCTTAAGTGGTACACTTTGTGCACTCACCCATGCATTGTCCCCCCCAGAGATGGTGAGCAGCAGGAGGTGGCGTTGTTGACGTATGAGATGGTTAGTTTCTATGTTTTTCCCCTATTGGTAAATTTTATTTATAACATTTTATACTACTGTGGTATGATATACTAACACTAAATTTTATTTCTTGGACATTGCAGCTAGCATGTCAGATTATTGATGGTATTGATCCTTTGCTTCGTGCTTCTGATGAGGATCTTGACAGGTTGGGTCCTTATGATGACATGATTCGACGAGTTCGTGACAAGTACATCACTTTTCTCCAGCTGAGACCATATCGTCCACTTACCTTGTAGTTGTTATATGTTGAACATTGTTGTTTGATGTTTGGATGTTTGATGTTTGGATGTTGGAACTCTAGTTTGTTTAGGTTTAGGTGTTGGATATTTGTCATTTGATGTCCGGATGTTGGATGTTTGCTATTTTTATATTTGGATGTTTCATATTTGAGGTTTGGAAGTTAGATCTTTGATATTTGTGTTTTTTAGTAAATTTCCACATGTTACTTGATTAATTTAACCTAAATCTACATATTTTCTAACACAAAACATACACTACTTGATTAATTCCACGTAAATCCACGTAACTTCGAACACAAAGCACACACTAAAATAATAATAAAAAAACACAATCTAAGGAAACAACACTTAATCACCCTCTTCATCATCGTTTGGATAATGTCCTCCGAGAATGGCATACAATGCCTGCTCTTGCTCGTATAACAAGTCCCAATCAGGAATTGATGTCATATTCCGAAAATGAGACCACTGTGGTGAAAAAGTAGGCATTGGTGTTACTCCATCGACATCGTCGACTATGAGTCGGACCCAATGTGCCCCAGTAAAGACCAGTGTCATAACAGCACTTGGTTGAGTGAACCCCTCCGGCGCCGTCAAAGGTAAGGCGGTGTACCCATACGTGTGTCGCCCTCCATACAATCCATAGACGACAATTGCCCAATTGTACATGGTTGCAAATACCAGTAGATCCGCCTCCTCGAACCAATACTCTTGGGTGCATCTCCCAGCAATCCGACAATCCAATCTGTGAACTACTACCTCCAACGACCCATCTCTAGAAAGGTAAACTCCCTCGTAGAGACCCCAATGGTTTCTCACCTCTGTGATGATATCTTGTCTCATTTGTAAATGGTCACATATTGGAAACCTTACAAATGAGACAAGATATCATCACAAAAATATTAAAATGATGCTAACCTGCAGGGGTTTTGCTCCTAGGTGTCCTCGGGCTCTGATTTGTTTTGCTCCTCTTTTCTGCCCTTGCCCTCTCATGGTCTACCCATTCGGCACGATCGGGAGGACTCTCATACACCAAAGATTACCAGAATCGATGCAAGTGGTAGGGATACAACTCTACGCCGGCAACACTATATTCATCCATCTTACATTTACATGGTAGACCATGTGTCTCAGGTAGCCGACATCCACATCGCCGAACGATTTTCCTCTCTCGTTCTTCCATCATCAACTCAATCACCCACAAGCTTACTTCCTTATTCAAGTTTCCATATGGCGGTCCATAGGCTAATGCAAATACCTTTCCGAATCATGAATTTCTAAGTCAAAATCAAATTGAGGATATAGGGAAGTACTAATTTAAGGGCTCGTTTGGAGAATTGGAGTCTAAATCTCTAGATTCTAGACAATCCAAAGATTTTAACTCTCTGGATTGTTGAAAAAAGATTTGAAAATGTTCATTGTTTGGTAACTATGATTGTTAACATCCAATAAAAAAAGAAATTCTATTTTTTTTTATCACATAACATATTTATCCTTAACAAAAATAATTAGATTGGCTCGAAAAATATTGAGAATTTATTGGTAAGGATATTTAGTGGGATAAATGAAAAAAAAACAGGAGATATAATAGGAGGGAGAAAATCTCCAAAATCAAGATGTAGAATCTCTCTAATTATGAGAGATTTGATATCTCTAGATTTTATAGATTTACAATCTCTAAAGATACAATCCACGATAGAAAAAGTAGCAAAAAAACATAACATTTTGCTAAATCTATGGATTCAATAAATCCACGATCCAAATCTTATTCTCCAAACGACCCCTAAATAAGCAAAAAAAAATGAAAATACCTTGGAAAGTGATGCCTCTAAGTCCTTCTTCAATTCAATCACTCTTCCCTCGACGGATGTATGAAATCTGAGGAAGAGTGTATCAATCTTGTGGGTCAAAGTGGCAAGCCATTTCTTCAAAGAGGAATGCATTGTCTCTACCCTATTTGTGCTTGAGTTACCAATATGGAAGACACGATTGGTGTAGCAATGAGCCCACCTTTCCGCGCATGGTATCCACTCACTTATGAGGTAGTCCATCAACTTTTCGTTTGTACCCCAATGACCATTTTGCAAGTCTCGCCAACACCGTTGGAACCCTGCCTCGGTATTGGCATTCAAGACTCTCCCCCATGGACCTTCTATAAACCACTCGGCAGAATCACGACTGATCCTAAAAGACAACATTTTAGCTTCAATGTTCTTCTTCATGTGCCACACACATAGTAAATGAGCTGAAGATGGAAAGATCTGTCGCAATGAGACACCCAAACCTCCCTCCTTATCGGTAACAAACGCATCCGGTGTTCGATCACCAAGAAGATGCTTCAATTGCATCAAAACCCAAGCATATGTCTCCTTCGTCTCATCCGACACCAATGCAAACCCAATATTGAAGTTCTTCTTCACCGGACTAACACCAATCAACTGAACTAGTGGCTGCTTATACTTGTTAGTCTTGTAAGTTGAGTCTATCAAAATGACGAAATACCATGCGCTCAACATCCGAATAGACTCTGGATGGCAAAGGAAGAGTCTAGAAACACGACGCTCATCATCAAACTCGCACTCAACAAAGTAATCGAGACGTTGAGCTTCTATCAATGTCCACCGCATAGGTTTCATGCCACCCAATCTCTCACGCCTAATCTTTTCTGTCTCGTTATAAATCTGCTTCATATGGTGATGAGCATCGTACTTCCTATTCACAAAACTCCTAATATCTCTTGCTTGAGTATGTGTTGCCTCCAACTCCTTAATATCCATTCTTCTCTCTTTCAAAAGAGAATTCCTTTGCCTACTTCCTTCAGAATAAACCTCCCATTTGTGATTGTGAAATCCTCTCGACTTACCCGGATTATCTTTGTCTTTAACACCAAAAATTCTCCACTCGCACTTGCCATCTACCAATGAACAACGCACTACCACTCGGAAACGACAATCAGACTTACCTGTTTTAGATTTGCCCCGTGTTGTTTTTGCCAATATCAAGAGTATATGACTTGTTCCTATAGCCATGGTTGCAATCCATATAGTACCGCGGATATTTTTTTGATGAGTGATTTTGCTTGACTGATCCCACAATCAAGAAAAACCTATTTCTCATGGCAATCTCCCTTGCAGCCGCACAAGCATCATCATGGGTATCATAAACAACATCATTTATGAAAAATGATGTGTAATCAACATTGTCACCCTTATCATTTCCAAAACCTCCCTACAAAAAATACACGGTATAAATATTTACGTTAGTCTTGAAACAATTATGTTGCAATAATTTAACTATTAAACAACAAAGAAATAAGGTATTTACCGAATCACTCATTTTAAACTTGTTATTTGATGATGATAGCGAAAGAGGCTTCTACACTTTGTCCTCCCTCCTACAAGCACAACAAAAAACAAATTTTAATGAACATATAATATATTTCAATTGAATTTCATCAAAATTTGTCTAACAATTCACAAAAATCCATCTAAAAATCACAAAAACCGGCCCCAAGCATGTGCAAAACATGACTCGCCAATGGTTCAAACGTGTTGCACAGATTCCACTACCAGTTAGCGGGCATGTTCTTTACGGGATTACGCCGTATGCCAAGCGGGTTGTCTACCAGCCTCGTCCATGGAAAGACATGTGTCCGAAAGGGTGAGACGGCGGGACGGGCAGGTCGATTACAAGCCTCTCCATCAGCACGGACATAAGGTCGTCCCACCTGTCCACTGACGCGGGCATGTTGTTTACCCGCCTGTCTGATGGATCAAGCATGTGAATTACATGCTTGATGAGAGGAACAGACAAGCTGTCTACCCGTTTCCTCCATGGAGAGATGTGTTTTCAACCTGCCTCTCCGGCGGCGCGCACACAATTTCAACCCATTTGTTCTCGTAAAACAAAAAAAAAAAAAAAAGAATAATGCAGCATACCTTTGTTCGAATACTTGACTGTCGAGTGTGCCTTTGGCTCCAATGGTCTCGCCGAATCCAAATAAAACTCACCAATAAAGAAGAGAGTAGTTGAGAACTGTTGTGGTGTGGGATTTGATTAGTTTTTTGTTTGATGTTTCCACTCTTTGTCTCTACAAAGAGTGGAAAAGTGTAGGACCATTATGTCCTACTACAATATATGGGTTTTAAACCCTAAAACTCACCCAAGGGCTTTTTGGTCATTTTACATATCTTAGGGCGATAAATTTAAATAATTAGGGCGACAAATAGGAACTCTCGTGATAAACCCCTCAGTGGGTTTGATTTGATTTTTGAGAGCAAGACTTGCAATTCAAGCTCACCCTTGACTTAAACTCGTCGGAAACTAGAAATGGTGTTCTGCCGGTGAGGAAGAACAAGGCTGGATTGAAGTTGTGTGCAATCCTTCACCTGGAGGAAGGCTCAACAACTATACGTCGATGCCCGCCCACGATCAATGTGGTTTTGATCGATACAAGGGCTGCAATCAAGCTTGGTTTTCTCGGCCAAACTCTCAACCAAAAACAAGCTGTTGAAACTTAGTTTTTAGGGTTAATCTTCAATTCATTCATGTCCACAATTACAAGCCCCCTTTTGAGTTTAAATAGAACTAACAATGAACCTAAAACAACAAGGAAGGTTGACGAAAACAAGGAAACCGAAAACAGTCCTAATACTAGCACAACATGGAGACTTAAAACACAAGAAAACAAGCAGCCTTGATACCATCCTCAGCATCCTCGTTCGAGGTCTTCTTGGCGTGAACTCCATCACCCAACTCCTTGCTTCTGTACTAGGAAATACGTAGCTTCATGTGGCCTGAAGCTTTTCTCTCGATTCAGCACCATCTTCCCGGAGTGAAGCTTCAAAGTAGCTATGATGCTCACCGTTTGACACTTAGGCAATTCCTGCCATTTTCCCAGCATTGAGCTACCACCTTGTCGAGGCTTGAAAATGTGCTTCCATGCTCCCTTTGAGCTGCCAAGCACACCATCGTGTCCAGCAACACTTGGAGTTCAA